TTCTCCCCACGCGAGGCGACGTCGCCTCTCTTCTCCCTAAGCGGGGTGACATTGTAGAAAAATGAGACGATGCTGCCTCTTTCTATATATATATAAGTAAAAAGAATCTTATATATATATTTATTTATATATAAAAGTAAAAAAAATCTGCGACGTCGCCTCTCTTCTCCCCAGGTGGGGTGACGTTGTAGAAAAACGAGGAGACGTCGCCTTTATATATATATATATATATATATATATATATATATATATATATATATATATCTCGTCCGATAGTGGGCGGTTTATGTATCGGTCTACTGGCGGACTGGTACATACCACCCGGTACGAGCGGTATTATTCGAAATTGACGACCTTGTTTTGGATATATTCATATATTCATAAATTATTTTCTTATCACCGGCTAGAGGTGTACCTAATTGCTCACAAATGTAAACATTTCATATTCTATTCTTTTAATAAACCCATGTATCCATTTCAACATCCTCAAAGTTTAGCAACTTGACTTTTGAAACATGTTTTTCAATATACAACATTCTGTATATGAAAGCATGATTTGTTTCTTATAATTTCTTTTTATAAACTAAGAAGCATCCTATCACAGCCGAAGGAGCACACTATCAAATAAAACTCCTGGTGCTTTTCCACGCTATGACATAGAACTCCTGAAGCCTTCTTGTATCTGTATCTGACTCCAGATAGCTGCCTTTTTCTGATAATGCTTAAATATATTTTTATATGCCTATTAATATATGTTGAAATATATTTTTTATATGCCTATTAATATATGTTGAAATATATTTTTATATGCCTATTAATATATGCCAAATAATGCTTAAATATATTTTTATATGCCTATTAATATATTTTTATCTTTTTTTTTGTTGCATTTTGCTTTGCTTTGGGGTTATGGTATTTGTGCTGCTGTGGTTCTCATATTGTACTCTAGAGCTTATGGTATTCAACTATTCATCTTGCTCTGAGCCATCCTTTACTCATTATAGCACTGAATTCAATATTCAGTTGGTTGGTAATAAATTTTAGGCAGTGTTAGGAATTCGATCATATTTTGAATAAACTTTTGATGTTTGTTTCACATCCTTTTCAACTACATCAGACGGAAAGTGCTCTCATATTGTACTCTAGAGCTTATGGTATTCAACTATTCATCTTGCTCTGAGCCATCCTGCTACTCGTTATAGTACTGAATTCATTATTCGGTTGGTTGGTAATAATTTTTAGGCAGTGTTAGGAATTAGATCATATTTTGAATAAACCTTTGATGTTTGTTTCACATCCTTTTCAACTACATCAGTCGGAAAGTGCGCAAGGTGAAGCTGCTGCAAGTGCTATGATGGGTCGTGGTCAGGGTGGACCAGCCTTCCGTGGCCGTGGTGGAAGAGGCATGCGGCGGCGTTGATTCCCGTTATCAGTTTTTGTCTCCACTTCTACGCTTAAGCTTGATTGAGAGTCGGTGTATCAGGAGAGCTGCTTCTTTTCGCTTCACCACCCCTTTTAACTTATGGACATGAGAAGTTTGGATTGCAGAACCTGCTTGAACTAAATGTTGTCTCAGTTTTGTCGCTGGCATGGTTTGTATTATTTGATATTTGGTAGTGGTTTAAGAATGTGATGTATTCTCTGTAGGTAGAAATGCTTGATTGGAAACTTCTAGCCCATTGGAAACACTTAACAAAAAATTGATTCTATGATCAAGTGATCTCTGATAATAATGTTTCTAGCCCATTTGCATGTTCTTTATTGGAAACTCACTATCGAATATATTTAATTTCTTAAGAATATTTAAGTTTTTTTTATTTATAATGATGTAAGAGAAGTTTATTACTATATTATTGTTTCCTTATTATCTTTTTTCACTATATCAGAAATCTGTTTATGATCTTATTTATAATTGTTTACTTAGAATTTATATATTTATTTTGTTTTAAAATAAATATTAAAGTACGTTTCAACTAGTTGGTTCATCGGGGTGTATATCATTAAATCATTAATTACTATTTTAAAATTTAAATTTAATGTAAATTACTTAGTTCAAAAAATTGGATTTGTATGATTTGTATAGCTGTCTTCAAATATATATATATATATATATATATATATATCGGCTCGACTCCCACGATGGAGGCATCCGCAGTGGGTCCAGATATATCTGTCTTCGGGCACATGACCGAGACGCAACTGGGTAATGGACGAACTGGCAGGGAAAGCATCGCTCCATCCATTAAAACCGGTTCAAACCGAATAATTAAAGGTGGAACTAAATTGAATTATTATTTTTATTTGATGTGATAAAAATAAAATAGTTTGAACCGGAATCGTTCGAGAGTTATCGAATCGATTCAAGATTGTTTAATCCGATTCGATTAACTGGTTAATTGATTTATAATTTTAAATAAAAAAAAATATATTTTTAAATGAATTGAATCGAATCTAAATATTGAACCAATTGAATGACCTGCATGCATCATTTGTAAAATTAAATCTTTGAATCAATTTAATTAATCGATTTGTATGACTTTCACATTTGATTCAGGTTGGATTTCGATCGACTTCGATTCGATTTAAACAACAAATATTTTATACGATGTTGGAGGTGTCAGCATCACACTACATCACATCACAATCACCCGGTGAAGAGGCTATATAACGAGCCAAACGGACCAACGGCTGCTCCATCTCCAAGCTTCCGCCTTTCCCTCTTCGAATGCGATCCCCGTTCCTTCGCAAGAAACCTTGGCCGATTCCAATCTCTCCCTCCCCGCTCCCCTTCCTCATAAAGCAAATCTCTTGTCGCCATCATCTTGTCGTTCTCGTCCCGTTCTCAGTCCACTTCCTGGACCCGGCGGCGGCAATGGGGGAGGAGCAGAGGAAGAAGAAGGATGTGATTCGGTTGGAGCGCGAATCCGTCATTCCGGTTCTCAAGCCCAAACTCATCATGAAACTGGCGTATCTCATCGGTAATCCTGCACTTGTCTCAGATGGTTTTGGGTGGATTGTGTCCCTTTAGGCCTCCAGATTCTCTGTTTTCTGTGTGTAGTTAGTTATAGCTCGAGAAGTTTCCTTCTAAATTCTCAATCTATTAAATATAATTCATAAAAATCCAAGCTCGAACGTTTTTTATATTAGAAATTGGGAGAAATCCGTAAAAGATTTGTGTAGGGTTCGCCGGAATGAGGATATTGTTTCTTACAGAATTCAATAATGGTAATCGGACATCAAGCAGGGGAACAAGAAAATCCTAATAGATATATTAGGATCGGTGAAATTTTCAGCATCTTAAAGATCTCGCCCTTATAACTGTCTTTATCACTGTCTTCACTAAATTCTGGTTTAAAAGTGTTCTTAATGTCATTTTTATTAGAGAATCCTATAGCTTTTGCTTTCCACAGTAACACTTATACCGACTTAGTCAATATGTTACATTCTAATGTGAAGATGATCTATACACCCAGGGAGGCTAATACTATTCATTGGGTAGCCAATTTTTTCTAGAATTAATAGGCTTCGTTAGGGAGGAACTAATCATCCCTCTGGTTTATCCTGTTGCTTCACTCTGATGCTCATGGTGAGTCTTATAACCGGTGTGTTTAGTTTTGTTGTTTTGGAAGGAACAAGCTTATACCTACTAAATCATACTCCTTGGATAAAAAAACAATGGGAGACAAGAAAAAGAGAAGTTGCTTAGTTCTTGATATAACTTCCTCATTTCTTTCGCTATTGTGTATGTTGGTGATTGTAGTTGATGGGCTAATAACCAAGCAATTTGGCTTCCTTAATTGAATCTCACTTTTCATATATGATAAATATTCCTAGTTTTGAAGTACCAATTAATCACTAGTAATGATTGATTGTGTATTTCGACGCTCATGACTTTGAATGAGTTGCTTTCTTTTTTTCCAGAGCTTGGTACTGACCGAGCTGAATTCCTTAGGCTATGCAAAAGAGTTGAGTACACTATTCGCGCTTGGTACCTTCTACATTTTGAAGATCTTATGGTACTACCTCTCTCCTATTCTTGCAACATATACGGATTGGTGAATGTTTAAGATATCCAATATAGAGTTAACTGTGCACTAATATCATAGCTGTTTTTTTGACTATTTTGCACTATGTTATGTTCACTTAGATGAAATCTTGATTGATGATTTCTTTTATCTCAACAACATTGCATCTGCAGCAACTTTACTCACTGTTTGATCCTGTTCATGGTGCTCGGAGATTGGAACAACAGCACTTATCTGATGAGGAGATCGATGTTCTGGAACTGAATTTTATAACATATTTATTCCAGGTTTTTCAGTTTCCTGGTAACTTTACTGCAGTTTTATCATGATATGAAGTTATGATTTCTCAGTAGACAGCTGAGATGAACAATGTTTTTGGTTTTGGTAAATTAGATTTAAGCTGATCCAATTTCTACATGCAAGATGCTATTTATTGCTTCCTATTCACTCCTTCCAAGATTCTCGTCAGATTGTTTGAGTATTATTTTCTATCCTACTTTTTTAATGGATGATTCCTCCTAAGCATATAAGTGTCCCTGAAGCAATGGTTCGTGTCTTTTACTTGGCATGAGTTCTGTTGCATCAATCTTGTGGTTGGATACAATTGCTTTGGTGACAAGTTTTTATATATCCTAAATCCCAATGTTTGAATTGCAATTGGTTTACTCAAATTAGAACAATAAAAGAGAAATAACTTCTAGCAACCAAAATCTTTTTCTTTGGAGCAACAAGACTTCCATTTGCATCGAATTTCCAGTTAAAATAGCCATAACAATCATAACTTCTCTTTTCTGATTGAAGCAGGTAATGGAAAAGAGCAACTTCAAACTAGTGACTGATGAGGAGATTGAAGTTGCGCAATTTGGGCAATATCTCTTAAATCTACCGATCAAAGTGGATGAATCCAAGGTAACATGGTCCAATATATACTTGAAGTGCTTAAAATCTTTGATATTACCTTAATTGATCTTGTAGTTCTTTCGATATCTAGCTGGACAAGAAGCTTCTGCCAAGGTATTTTAAGGAGCATCCTCATGAGAATCTCCCGGGATTTTCTGATAAGGTATTGTCTTATTCTCCTAGAGCATTGTGCTTTTGGCTCCTTTTATGCACACAATACATAACTTACATGTACTAAAATTTACCAATTTCATACTTTTAGTTTACTTGGTGCTCTTAAGACTGCGATATCTCGATGCAATTCGTATTTGTTAAGGTCATCTTGTACTTTTTCTCAAGGAAGATCACGTCTATTCAGTCATATCATGTCAATTAATGGGATTCTCATTCTCTCCATATAGTGCCATCCTCTTATAAGACGTTTTCAATTTAATATTAGAATATGATAATTAAATAAAAAGTTTCATTCCCTGTATTCTTCACGAATATGTAGAATTTTTTAACATATGTTCAAGTATAGTCACATTTATTTTTCTGTGATTTCCCAGTAAATTTTAATTTTCTCCCTTATGTTTGCAAATAAATATATCTCTCTGCAACAACTGTAGTGTTCCACTTCATTATGTGAAGTAAAATGGAATAGATGTTTTATCTGTACATCTTATTACACTTTTGTTGCTTAGCTTCCAATCCATGATAATAACACATGAAATCCAAACTGGAACCATCAGAGAATTTTGATCTTTGGAAATGTGATACTTCTTTCCTTGATGAAACAAATATTATCTACTGAATCTATGATGAGTGATAAGATGTTAGAGCAAAAAATGCATTGTATTTTTTATTAATGAACAGAGTATTGTATAATCTGTTTCCTCTAGTGTTGCTCATCTTTTAATACCATGTCTATATGATCTAATACACAGTTATGATGTAACATCATTTCCATTGCAGTATGCTGAAAACCTTTCTTCATGATTAAGATTTTTCTGACCTATGTTCCTTTCGTTTTGGAAGTACATGATATTTCGCAGGGGGATCGGAATTGATCGTACAACTGATTACTTTATCATGGAGAAATTGGATATGATCATATCTCGTATTTGGATGTGGTTTCTGAGAGTTACTAGGTATTCCTGTGACATTTGTTCTAATAAAAATAGATAACTCTCACTTATACTAGGATGTATTCGATGATTGCAGGCTCGAGAGACTATTCTCCAAAACCGAAAAGTTGATATCCAAGAAAGATACCAAGAAAACTGATGAAATCAGTTCTGATTCAGAGGATCAAGACATATTTGTGGAACGTATTCGAATTGAAAAATTGGAGCTTAGGTTTTAATATTTATATCGGACTTGATTAATTATAAGCTTGATCTGTCAATATTATATACTGATATATTTCATTTCATGTTGACTGCAGTATCGGAAATCTAATCGGCCAGATCACAATCCAAGAGCCAACTTTTGACAGGATGATCGTTGTGTACAGGTAGATACACTCCAGTTATCTGCAAAGAGATAAAGACATCTCCAATTTGCATTTAGGATCACAGAGATTGGATTCTATCATGACTAACATGCTTGAGAAACTTTGTTTTAAGTTACCATGAAAGATAGGAAGAATGTTTTCATTTGTGAATAATCAGATACAAAGATAAAACGTGTGAGAAACATTTAAACTAATACCACGTGTTCAAGAGGCCTATAGATATTATTGTTAGATAATATGAGACAATTAGTATTAGTAATACCAGAAGAGATAAGAGGTACAACTAAGAAGATTTTATTAAAAACTATAAATAACTCTTAGTTTAACTAAAGATAAATGTTGATAAAAAAATTGTACAGCTAACCTCAAATAGTTAGAAATTATGCAAAATCCTGATATTCATTGTAACTTTCTACAGGCGAGCAAGCACAAAGACACACATAGAACGAGGAATCTATGTAAAACATTTTAAAAATATTCCTATGGCTGACATGGAACTAGTATTGGTGAGATTCCTAAACTAAATATCAGGGGCAATACACAAGATATTGAAACTTTTTATGGTATTTATGCTTGACTTATACCCTGAGTTGATCACTAATTCAACAGCCTGAAAAGAAAAACCCAAGTTTGACTCCTATGGACTGGGTCAAGTTCCTCATTTCTGCTGTGCTTGGTCTTGTAAGTTATTGCACTTGCATAAATTGACTGGTTCAGCTTTACGTCTCTTTCTGGTTCTAACAAATAACATATGATCTCAGGTTACTCTTGTCAGCTCCCTTGAGATGCCTAAAGCGGACATCTGGGTTGTCATTGCCATCATCTCTGGTTTGGTTGGTTACTGTGCTAAGGTCTACTTCACGTGAGTATACAATGAGCTGTTCGGTACATTTCGCTGATTTTAAGGTTGGAAACGGTAGTTCTATAAAACCATGCAGGTTTCAACAGAACATGACGACCTACCAAAATCTAATCACCCAGTCCATGTATGACAAGCAACTTGATAGTGGCAGAGGCACGCTTCTACACTTGTGCGATGATGTGATTCAACAAGAGGTGAACTCATGGAAAATGTTTCCGTTATTGATTTGTTTGATGTACGTCCTAATATTGTTTTGCGATCTGGATGTGCAGGTCAAAGAGGTGATAATTTCTTACTTCATTTTGATGGAGCAGGGGAAACTAACAATAAAGGTGTGAACTTGTTGTCATTCTTTTCCTGCCATATTGTTCTTTGTTAATCCTCACTACCTATGTGATGTAAGTATAGGATCTTGACCACAAATGTGAAGAACTCATCAGAGAACAGTTTCACGAGGATATCAACTTTGAAGTCGAGGATGCTGTCCGAAAGCTGGAGAAACTTGGTATTGTTGCAAGAGTAAGTTTGCGTTCTGCTGTTTCTCCAGCTTTTTGGTTCATGATACTCCATTTTCAATGCCTGCCAAATGATGACAGTTCTTGATGCTTGCTACAAAAGAAAAAGAATACTAGAGAGAGACAAATGATTTATTGCCAAAATGTAATGCAAGGTTTTACTACTTCAGTAAGCTAACAAGAAAATATCCTAATGGAAGACAAAGGCAGATTGTATGTGTCCTCCCATGTTGCTTGATTTTAGTGAATAGACCATGGATTGAAGACATTATTAGTAAACTCTAGTTTACTCTAATGCACCTTTGCACAGTTAAAATGGCAAGCTTATGCATACAGGATTCTATTGGAAGAATCTACTGTGTTCCCCTGAAGCGAGCAAATGAGATCATTGGCACCACCACAGAAGAACTGGTGATCAAAGCCCAACAAGGTCTTCCAAGTTGATCAAAGTTGAGAATCCATCAACAGCATCCAGGTTTTTCCACAGCAATATATTATTCCTAGTCGAAGCCAAATTTCCACTTAATCTTCAGTTCGACCATGTGTCGTTTTACATTCTTTATCTGTAATTATGTATCTTTTATCCTTCATTCATTAGCTGGTCTTCTTTGACTGCTGAGGGGATAATAAGAACTGGAATAGAAATATTTATATTCTTTCTTTTACGAAATAACTTTGATTTGAGTTCAGAAATTGATTTCTTTTCATGTAATGACTGCACTAACTTTCCCTTAGAAATGTATGTGCTTTACGCACATTTATAATCCAACGTTTTTCTCCCATAACCTGCTACTTGTATTATCAAGTTTGTATTCCTTTTAATCGCGAAGGTTAATAGGTGATGTCAGAATCATAGTTTCTGTAAAATTATGAATTCTTTGGTCCATTTGGCCATCTTATGGACGGGTTGCAGTTTGCAGCCCAACAAAAGGGAGAAACAGAAAGAAGTTGTTCATGCTTGAACTTATAAGATCCAAAGAGTTCATCCTCTAAGAATGATAATGATTAGTAATTAGTGTCAATTTTCATTTATTATGGAAGGAGATGAAGAGGAGGAATGCTGAGTAGTAGATTGTACCTGAGAGGAGGAAGGTGGGACGTGAAGACGGTGCAGCATGGTGACATCTGCATTCTCCCATTATTCACCAACCAATCTGCCATGACATAAACGCAATGAAGATAATTCAGATCAAAATCACAAGTCGAATGACAAAATAATAATAACAGTAGTAAAATATAACTACTGACGATGAGGAAATTCAAGCAGGAATGCTGATACGTTAATGATCACAGAGAAATTGCAGCACGTTATTTCTTTGGTTTACAGGAAAACATTGATCATGAATAAACATTCAGTAAACTCCAAACAAATTAACCCGACATGGAGAACTAGTGCAGGTATTCCTTGAAACAAGGAATTTATCTGTTTTATCGAAAGAAATTTAGATTATTACATGACATGCTGATTCTTCATCACTAATAACATAGACCTGGTGTTTGCGACATTATCTTACATACTACTTGGAACATCTATGAGAGTTCTCATTATCTATTTGCAGTGGCAAAAAGATTCTAGCATCACTGGTTCCCGTATGTTGGACCACCTTCCACTCCCTTCTTATCATCCCATCCTCTTACCCATGGCTGACCAGGATTTGCTCGGGTCTCTGGAGCAGCATGGCTGTTGAGATTTGACATGACCTTGGATTGAATGGCACAAAATACCTACAAAACCATGTTTCAAAAAACTAAAACATGAAAAGAAAAACCAAATGATAGAATGAAAACATTTCATGTTTTCAAATGCTGTACAGGATTAATCTTGACTGCTTCTGGTGGTTGCTCTTGGCCTGTTAGCCACTTCCACAAATCTGGGTTTTCCTGAAGAATTTATTAGAACCCATGATAGTGTCAATGCTATATAAAAACTTAAATTTTAGAATTATCTCTTGTCAAAGAATCTTTCTAAAAAATATAGCAATGTCATTGGCACTGAGAGCTGCAGATAAAGTCAACAAAGTAGGTAATAAATGTTGCATGAATGTGTGGCAAGTACGACTAATGGAATAAGAACCATGTTACTATCTTAATTTGTTTTCCGAGTACTAATTCCAAGTTTCCTTCTTAATAACAGCATGAACTTGTATGATACTTGCAAGTTATTTGAGTTACCGGAATCAAGAAAGATTAGAAAAACACCACCACACTAGATGATTGGTGTAAAAACTTGATGTATGTTCAGCCAAACCCTGCAGGTATCCCTGATATCACATGCAACACCCTACAGCTCAGTACAACTTCATTGCAAACCACTTGCCTTCATTATCTAAACAAAAATCCAAGGTCTATGGGTAGCGATCTGATAACTAGGATCAACATCTCATGATGGTAATTTGAAGATCGAGGGCAATCGAGGGAAAGAGATAAAAAATGTAAATCTCAAAACATAGTGAAGTAAAAACAATCAAGCAAGTACCTTTGGGATGTTATTTCAGATTTCTTAAGATTTAATAGTTAAAGCTTTAATCACCCAATTGGGTCTTAAGGTGGAAAATAGTAAAGCTTCTAAACAACATAACAAACTTAGAAGTTGAAAAGAAGTATGTTATCTAAGTTGGAAAGAAGAAACACAATTGGGATCTCCTGGATTGTTGTTACCCAGCAACACAACATGGGCACGCCCATGTTTGTTTGCTAGGTAACAGAGTTCAACAGGTGAATCTAGCTAGCAAGGTGGAAAATACTGTCACCTAAGTTGAAAAGAAGAAACACAACCGTGGAGCCAAGGCTAGATTGAGGTTATTGGTAGCTACTTTAAAGAAGTTTGTTTTGTCTAAAATCTCACTTCACGGCTAAAGATTCTTCAAACCAAAGAACCTTGATATTTCTACAAGAATAGCTGCTAGTTCTGATTCTTCAAAAATGAATCCAAGCATCAAAAATCGAGTTGCCGCTGTTTCTAATAGTAATAACATAAGCATAAAGTTTCACAAGTTGGTTAGTGAAAAGGTTTAACACTACTTCCAGAGATCAAATACATGTAAATCCACATAAAAACTGTGTGGTTCAAATCTAAATGAAAACATTATAAATTGGAAGATCATTTCAGTTGTTGTAATATATGATAATAGCTCTTCCTTCGTCTATCTCAGAATATTATTTTGTTACGATGAGATGGTCTTTAAAATGTTACACACAATTGAAGAACACTTTTATTACTTTTTGTTGCTAGAATTATTGAACCTCAAAAATGATCATAAAAGGAATTATAAGACGATTTTGTCAAAGAAGAGAAGAACAAGGGAACCTCAGTGGTTCCTGTATACCATAAACCACAATGGTTTGGCTGTAATCTAAGCATAAGGTATAACAGAAGTAAGGTAGACTCACCAGGTCGAGAACATCCATGAGGGCTCTGATATGGAGCTGATCCATGGCACGAATGTTCTCCTCTACCCATGCCCCCAGAACCAAATCCAATTCAAGGAACCCCCTTTGCCTGCTCCTGTACAACAACCTACCCACGACAAGATGCAATCTTTATGGGTAGCAGGATCGCACTACACATGAATCGACTCGACACGATGGAATAAAGAGGGAAAAACCTGTTATGAAGCCGGCGCTTGCTCTCTTCGTCGGAGAGGTCAACGTCAACCGATCCATGACCCGAATAAAACCGAGAAATGGATCCAACATGCGATCTGAATCGAGATAGAAGACCAAATTAGACGAAAACCCTAGGATCCGAGGAACCACTTAGAAATGAGGCATGAATGGAGGATCGAATCGAGGAACGAAGCATACAGGGAACAGATCAAAGGAATGCTAGGTACCTGAGGGATACTGGAGATCTCGTATCACTTAGCATTAGGGTTTGGCGTAGACGGAGGAGGGATCTCCTTAACGTCGCCATGATCGCCGTCGCGAGCTAGAAAACAGGACCTCAATATAGGATTTGGATTGATATAACGACTCCAGATTTTGTACTTGGTAGCTCCTAAACAAGAGTGGGATATGGCTCAGCGACTCGGCTGTAAAGGAGCGCGGTGTAGACTACAGAATGGGGTATGCAGCATATCAAAGATTGGGCAGCAGAAGTGCCGCCACGTGTTGTGGATTTGGTGTTCGTTTGATATCCATGAATTGGGAAAATGGAATAAGCTATTCCGTCTTTCCGTCTTATTATTCGGAGAATCAACTATGGTGTTAGGAAAAATATTATAGTAATTTTTTTATTATCAAAATAGATTCTAATAGTAAAATAATAAATCAATCACAAAGTGAGACATCAAATTTTTTACATAAAAAAACTCAATACTAGAAAAATCATGAAACTGTATTCCACTTCAAACCTCCACTATTATCGATAACGATGATAATATGTTTATAATAAGTCTTTTTCAGAATAACTGAATGATCATAATAACATTAAAAACATAGATCTTGATTCAACAATAATATATCATCATCACCGTAAATGAATTTTATCAAAGGAAAAATTTAGGTCTCACCAAGTGGATATATTAAAAAAGCATATGACAAATCATATTTCGACACCATTAAGATTATAGAGTTTGTTGGAAGGATTCTCCTCATAAAATTTGAGCCAAAATCGCTTGATCATCTAGCAAAAGTCTCAAAACCCTAACTTTTTCTCTTTTCTCTCTTTCTTTTTGGGTATTATTTCTATCATCCCAAGTACCAAAAGGTCTTTATAGCCAAGAAAGTGGTGTTCCTTGAGAAGGAACACATTCTTGGCGGAGATAGTGGGAGCGTAATATAGTTGAGCGAGGTTGGAGAACCTGGCTCAAGCACCACTCTACAGCCCGAATCTGTTCAGGTATCTAGCACACAAGTTTCAACTTTACGTAGGTTCGATAGAGCATCTCATCCTCTTAAGAGATATATAAGACATATTAGAGGAGAGGATGCTGAAAATATTGCTCTTTAGACCTATGAGGAGGTTATTATGAGTATAGACTCTAGGAAGTGATAAAAAACCATGAATTTTGAGATGGATTTCATGTATTTGAACAATGTTTGGAACCTAGTTGATGCACTCGAGGGTATTGTACCCATCGGTTACAAGTTGATCTTTAAGAAGAAGATCAGAGTAGATGGAAAGGTAGAAACCTATAAAGCAAGGCTAGTGGCTAAGGGTTATTGTCAGAAGCAATGTGTTGATTATGATGAAACATTCTCACCCGTAGCTACGCTAAAATTCATATGAATTCTTTTGGCTATTGCAGCATATTATGATTATGAGATCTGAGAAATGGATATGAAAATTGTGTTCCTCAATGACAACCTCGATGAGGAGATATATATGATATAAACCGAGAGATTCATGTCTAAGGACTGTCTAGATAATGTGTGTAGGTTGCTTAGGTCTATTTATGGACTAAAGCAAGCTTTCTGAAGTTGGAACATAAAATTTAATGAGATAATCAGATCTTATGACTTTGTTAAGAACGAAGATAAACCTTGTATATACAAAAAGGTAAGTGGGAGCACTATTACCTTCTTGGTATTATACGTGGATGACATCCTGATCATTGGGAATGATGTAAGAATGTTACCTACAGTAAAAACTTGATTATCTAGACACTTCTCCATGAAGAACTTAGGGAAATCATCCTATATCTTGGGGATTCAGATCTATAAAGATAGATCCAAGAGGATGCTTGGATTGTTCTAGTCTAGGTATACAGACACCATTGTCAAAAAATTTGACGTGAAAAATTTCAAAAGAGGTTTTATACCAATGAGACATGGGACATCGCTTTCTAGGAGTATGTCCCCAAAGACTCATGAAGAAAGAACAAACATAGATAGGATATATTATGTCTTAGCAATAGGGTCTCTCATGTATGTCACGTTATATACCAGGCTTGATATAGTGCATGCTTTGAGTGTCACAAGCAAGTATCAAGCGGATCTAGACTTGGAGCACTAGAAAGCAATAAAGTATATCCTTAAGTACTTGAGAAGGACTAAGGATCTTTTACTAGTATATAGAGGTAGTAGTCTCAAGGTTGAAGGCTACACAAACTCGAGTTTCCAATCCGATGTTGATGACAGCAAGTCGAATTCAGGGTATGTGTACACTTTGAATGGAGGAGCAGTATGCTGGAAGAATTTCAAGCAAGATACTACTGCTAACTCGACCACAGAGGTGAAGTACATTGTTGTAGCAAAGGCAGCAAAGGAGGGAGTCTGAATGAAGAAGTTCATCACAGATCTAAAAGTCATATCAGTCAGCGAGGAATCGATTCTCTTATATTGCGACAACGGAGCGATTACTCAAGTGAAGGAACCCAAGTCTCATCAGAAGTCTAAGCACGTTCTGAGGAGGTTTCACCTGATCAAAGAGATCATGACCCGAGGAGATGTAGTAGTGGAAAAGTTCCATCTGAAGATAACATCATAGATCCACTGACAAAGCCATTGTCTTAGTTTATCTTTGAGCGTCACAAGAGTCTGATGGGGATTAGACACATAGGTGATTGACTTTAGGTCAAATGGGAGATTGCTAGTCATAGGTGCCCTGCAAGCCAATCACGTGAGTGATGACACGTGTGACATGACACACACTCTTTTTGTATATTATATATTGGTATTCTATCACTTTATATTGCTTATTGTATGAATATATTATGATGTCTATGGATCTATACAATGAGAATCAAATCGTGATGAGATCACAATAATGAGACCGATTCACCTTTAAACATAGATCCTAAATAATCTCGATCATAGGTTACTCGAGAGGGACATTGAGATAACCAGACAGACTGGAGCTGCTCGTGTGGGGACACTAAGGATATAGTGTAGGTGCTCATTGGAGAATAAATTCACTGATTGATTTGCTCATGGAATGTGGATGGTTGATGATGTTATATTATCTGATTTTATAGTCCTAGTGGTGTATCTGGTCCTTAGACTTAAGACACTAAAGATGTCCTGTATGAGTACTCCACTCTGTGATACCAGACTTATAGGTCTTGAGGTTTCAGATCTAGCACAACCGATCATCGGGAGTGACAGCCAACCTTACAATGACTATTGAGTGTCGATAGAGGATCATCCACTCTCGATGTCATGAGAGAAATATTTCATGTATTCTTGCTCAGACAAATCCTTGACCAAGGTTATTCGGATTGAGAGAGAAAGAGTTCTCCGGGAGAATCTAATTAGAGTGAGACTCAAGTAGAAACCGTATTGGTCTAACAACATCATGCCCGGTATACAATATCTAGGATATTAGATGGATGAGAGATTATAGATATATGGTAACTGATAATAGACAGGTCCAATGGATTGGATTCCCCAATATCGTTTGGGGACTACGACGTAGTGGCCTAGTACATTCGCAGTCAATGAGTTGAGTGAATTATTATAGAGATAATAATTTACTGAGATAGAATGAGTTCTGACAGGTATGATTCATGACCAGCTTGATATTGGGCCTAGAGAGACACACACATATGGTAGGCATTGCGACGAATAGAGGTTATATCTGCGGAGCCCATATCTTATTGGATATCCAATAAGCCCCTGAATTATTGTATCCTATTGTTAGGAATGAGTTGGCACTAAGAGGGAGTGAATTAGTAGAGTGGTAAAAACGTCGATTTCGTAAATCTTTCGTACGTTAAAAACTGATCGGAAAGATATTAACTAGGAAGCGTAAGGGAGCGTAGTGAAAGCAATAAGAAAACAGTTTGTAGTTAAAGTGAATTACTCAAAAGAAATGCGAACCATATTTTATAGTGGTTCGGTCGTCGTGACCTACATCCACTATCGATTCCTCTTTCGTTGAGACCATTGACATCTACTAACGATCTTCCTTTAATGGGCGAAGATCAACCACTCTTACAACTTGATTCTCTTTTTGATAAGTTCAGGAGAGAACCTTTACAACCCCCTTCACTCCTCTCTTAAATAAGACTAATACTTAAGTTTTGAGTGGAGTTCACACGTAATTATAATAGCGTTTTCTTTTCTTTTTTGCTCTCAATTGTGTGTATGTTAACCAGGGATGAGAGGGATATTTATAGGCTTCAAGTGGATTCAAACTTGGAGCCTAAAAGTATCTCATCCCAGGTTTTTCGGGTCCTGACAGTACCACCGCCTACAGCACTAACATTGGGCGGTACCATCGCCTGATACCCTGCCACTGGGCGGTACCACCATCTGACACAGTCTCAAAGACTATGCCATGATGATGCTACTTGTTGGGTCACTGTTTAGGTCTTCCACTTGGCCCAACATAGTCCAAACTTGGGCATAATTGACCCCTAATTGAGTTGGCCCAATTCCAACCCAACTATGTGCTAACTACGAATTCTAAGACATTCACTAAGCTAAATAAGTCTATAAGTCTATGTTTCTTTTGGCGAGCATCTGGCGATCTTCCGGCGAACTTCCGAGGATCTCTCGGAAATGTTTCTGTGGACTCTCAGCAAGCTCCTGGACTTCACGACGATCTTCTTGAAGAGTTCCGATGAGCTTTTTTGGCAAGTTCCTATTGAATCTCAGATTTTAATGATGAAATTAATTATAAATTATTTGATCTAATCTATATGTTGAGAAAAGTGTGCAGGATTAACTACGATAGTAGTAAGACATAAAGCAGGTGATGTGCCGGAGTCAAGATCGAGATCTCGTTGGAGGTTTAAGAGTTCGTTAGAAGTCCGGACATTCGTCGGAAGGTCTGTCAGAACCAACCGAGAAGTCCAAGAGCTTGCCAAAGAAGCTCATTAGAACTCGCCAATAAGATCATCATAAAGTCCGAGAGCTTATCGAGAGTTGTCGGAACATTGCCAAGAGTTCGTCAGAAGATCGCCAGAAGCTCGCCGGAAGAGCAATTGACGTACTAGAATAAAAGTGCTTTGACTATGTCTTAGTTATTATAGTTAGATAGTAGATTGAGTTAGAATTGAGAGGTAATCTCACTAACTTAATTATGGGCTAATTGAGCCCTTAACAGGGCTGAATTGGGCCGGATTGAATAGCCCATTCAACCCCTGAAAATATGGCCGACGGTGGCACCGCCCGGTGACCAAATTTCCCAGGTGGTCTGGGTGATG